CTCATCAAATTATATGAAGTGAAGTCTCTTCACACAAGGATATTCTTAAAGCAGAAACTCTACACTCTTCAGATGAGTGAGTCTACATCGATGACAGACCACATCAACCACTTGAACACCTTATTTTCCCAAATATCAGCAGCAGATTTCAACATAGTTAAAAATGAGCGTGCGAAGCTTCTACTTCAGCCTACCAGACTCGCATGATCAACTCATCATCAACATACCAAAATATTGAAGGACATCTGCGCTTTGAGGATGTTGTCGGAGCTACTTTAGAAGAAGAATCCAGACGAAAGAATAAGGTATAAAGTTCTAAACAAGTAGAAGCTTTGACGATGATGAGAGGAAGATCAATGGAACGTGGCTCCAGTGGGAGTCAAAATCATGACAGGTCGAGCTCTTGAAATAAGAAGAATTTCAAATTCAAATGCTACTATTGTGGCAAGAAATGACATACAAAGAAAGAGTGTTGGAAGAAGATGAATGGAGAACCAACCTCACAAAGTTGCGTTGCAAATACCTCTGAAGAAGGAGAAATTCTGGTGAGTGAAGCAGCGATCAGTTCAAATGGTGAAAGTAGATTTCATGATAAGTGGATAATGGATTCAGGTGCAACTTGGAACATGACTCCACACCGAAAATGATTTCAAAAGTACGAGTCAATCTCAGGTGGATTCATGTTCATGGGAAATGACCATGCTTTGGAGATTGCTCGAATTGGTACATTCAAATAAAAAATTTATGACGGTATTATTCGCACAATTTAAGGGGTACGACATGTGAAGAACTTGAAGAAAAATATATTGTCTATAGGACAATTAGATGACATTGGATGCAAGATTCATGTTGAATATGAGATCTTGAAGGTTGTGAGAGGAAATTTGGTAGTCATGAAAGTAGAGAAGATCATGGCAAATTTATACGTGTTTATGAGAGATACCTTGCAAAAATCTAATGCAACAACTACATCGACAAATCAAGAAGAAACGATGACAATGTGACATCATAGACTTGGGCATATGTCAGAGCGAAGTCTGCAAATTCTTGCGGAACGTGATCTCTTACCCAGGCTCAAGAAGGTTAATTTACCTTTCTGTGAATATTGTGTGACAAGTAAGCAACATAGGTTGAAGTTTGCTAGAACGACTACACGAAGTAAGAAGAGATTGGACTTGATTCATTTTGATGTGTGGGAATCACCAGAATTGTCCCTTGGAGGAGCAAAATACTTTGTATCATTTATCGATGATTACTCCAGGAGATTATGGGTATACCCTATCAAGAAGAATTCTAAGGTGTTTGGGAAATTATGGGTGTACCCTATTAAGAAGAAGACTGAGGTGTTTGTTTGGTTCAAAGAATTTAAAGTGCAAGTAGATCTTGAAATTGGAAAAAGAATCAATAACAATTGGGCTGAAAATTCCTATGGAGATGTGGAGTGGCAAATCAGTTGATTACTCTTCCTTACATATGTGTTTGGTTGTCTTGTGTACATGATGTTCAACACTCAAGAAAGAACGAAGTTGGATCCAAAATCCAAGAAATGCATCTTTTTGGGCTATGCTGACAATGTGAAGGGGTATCGCTTGTGGGATCTCATTGTCCACAAAGTTATTGTTATCAAGGATGTAGTCTTTGCAGAAAATGAACTGTAAAGTGAGCAAACAAATGATAGCCTGAAGAAGGACAAAGTTGTAGTACAGATAGAGAAGAAGCCTTTGGAAGATTCTTCTAAGTTAGAGGAGGAGCACGAAGAACATGATCCAAATGAGGTTGGCGATGGAGAACTCCGACGATCAACAAGAGAAAGAGCAAAATCAACTTGGCATTCACAATATGTGATGATAAGTCATGATGCATATTGTCTTCTAAGTGAAGAAAGAGAACCTTTAACTTTTCAAGAGGTCGCGAGTGGTTCAGAAGCTCCCCTATGGATGACTGCTATACAAGAAGAAATTGAGGCTCTTTATAGAAACAAGACATGAAATCTTGTGGAACTTCCAAAGGATCGAAAAGCTATTGGTTGCAAATGGGTCTACAAGATCAAGAAAGATGGTAATAATCAAATGGAAAAATATCGTGCTAGATTGGTGATAAAAGGATATGCTCAGAAACAAGGCATTGATTTTAACAAGATATTCTCACCAGTTGTTAGATTGTCAACAATCAGAATTGTTCTTGCAATGTATGCTGCATTTGATTTACATCTTGAGCAATTGGATGTAAAGACTATTTTTCTTTATGGAGAACTTAAAAAAGAAATATATATGCTTCAACCAGAAGGTTTTGAAGAATAAGAAAACTTGGTTTGCAGATTGAACAAATCTCTATACGGTTTAAAGCAAGCGTCAAGATGTTGGTATAAGAGATTTGATTCCTTTATCATTAGTCTCGGTTACAACAGATTGATTTCAGACTGTTGTACTTATTATAATAAGTTTGAAGAGAATGATTTCATCATATTGTTGTTGTATGTGGATTACATGTTAGTGGTAGGCCCCAACAAAGCACAAATCCAAGAATTGAAGGCACATTTGGCTAGGGAGTTTGATATGAAGAACTTGGGACCAACAAACAAGATTTTAGGGGTGCAGATTCACCGAGACAGAAAGGATAGGTAGATTTGGCTTTCTCAAATGCAAGATTGCAAGTCAGTTTCTACCCCACTTCCTATCAACTACAAGTTATCATCAAGTATAAGTCTTAGCAATGAAGCGAAGAGTATTAAGATGTCTCGAGTATCGTATGCATCAGCGGTGGGAAATCCTATGTATGTCATGATTTATACAAGACCAAACATTACGCAAGCAGTGGGAGTGGTTAGTAGACACATGGGAAATCCTGGTGAAGAGCATTGGAATAATGTTAAGAGGATCCTTAGGTATATAAAAGGAACCTTCAATGTTGCATTATGTTATGGAGGATCAGAAGCAATTGTCAGATGTTATGTTGATTCAGATTTTGCAGGTGATCTATATAAAAAGAAATCTACTACTGGTTATGTGTTTACCATTACTGGAGGGGCAGTAAGTTGGTTATCCAAGTTACAAGATGTTGTAGCTATGTCTATTACAGAAGCTGAATATATGACAGTCACCCAAGCATGTAAGGAGACTATCTGGATTAAAAGGATAATGAAAGAACTTGGGCACAAGCAACAACAAATTGTTGTATATTGTGATAGTCAAAGTGTCTTACATATTGCAAGAAATCCAATCTTTCATTCCAGGACAAAACACATAAGAATAAGATATTGTTTTGTTCGAGAAGTAGTAGAAGAAGGGAGTGTAGATCTACAAAAGATTCACACTGACAAAAACCTAGCAGATGTCATGACAAAGTCGATAAATGTTGACAAGTTTATACGAAGTCAATCCTGTTACGACCTATCGAAAGCATAAGTATCATGAATGATAAAGAATATCATGGTGTGAAGATTTGATTAATTTTATCAAAATATTCAAGTGGGGGATTATGAGAAGGGGAAAAGTCTAACATAAAATAGAACATATTTGGAGACTTGTTTTTTATGTTATAAAAAGGAACCTAATGTTTCCTTAAGAATCATCCCAAAAAGTTTTTTCTTTTATTTTTCTAGTGCTATTTATATTTTCAAGAAATGATTGTCATCATTTTTCTTTGGACTAGAAAAGAGATATGTCATTTTTTTCTTATTATAAAATTTTTATTTTTATCTATTTTTATTATTTAATTTTTCTCATTTTTACTTTAATTGAGTTCTTTTAAATGATTGTATGAATAGAAGAACTATTAAAAATTATCTATTTTTTCATGTAGAAGGTGTATAGTTTGAGATATAAAAGCTATGATTTAACCACAGTGCACAGAACGTAGAATAGAAAACGAATTCATCCACAAACACATGACAAAAGCATAAGAAAGTTTTGTCTGGGTGCATTTATGTCTTTGGCCCCACCAATGTTGCTTTAACTACGGATAATCCTTAATTGGTGCCCACAGAGTTTCTCAGATTCACCAACCACATGGAATTTGCAATTAAGAAAATCTGAACCATTACTAAGTGGTCAAATAACACTAACAAGCTAAACAACAAGAAGAATCTAGTTACATTAACCAATTTCTTAACACTGGACGGCCATGGTTCAAGAGTAGTTGTTACCAATACTCAACATGCACAAGCATAAAAGTTGGCCTAAATTTGTATATTTTTCACATGAAATGTTTATTTAATGCACATAACTACAACTCAACCTATTATATTATCTCAATAAGAATAATTCCAGGATCATGCACAAATAGAAAGATGTTCACGGGCAACACCAAACAAACAAAAACAACAAATGGAATATGACTAATAATGACCAAATATTTCCATGAAACATTGTTCTTATACGCAGAAAGTGCAACCTGTGGTTCACATCGTTTCTCTCTCTTCATTTCTCTACATGGATGACATTAGAAGAACCATTTGTGACATCTCCTTCTCTGTCATTATTTTTCACTTTACACCTAATTCCTTTTAATCATATTATAAATACAAAATATTTTCTAATTTTACTAATAATTAATCTTAATTTTACTACCATTGATTTCGTTTTTACATTGGAAGTCAGAACAGTATAAGACCCCAGAAATCCATATGATAATCTCATCTAACCGGATAATTCTTATTTGCTTTTATTTATTTATTTTCCCTTTGTTTTATTTTATTGTCCACCACAATTGAAGATGCCACCCACCAAAGAGTAATTGTTCAAAAAAGTTTAATTTTCACCAAAAAAATGTTTTAAACCAAATTCCGTAACTATTGTTATTTTTACACCTAAAACTAGGTGCCAGAACTAGTATATAAGCCATACCATTAACCAATTTCTAGGCCACTTCAAATTCCAAATACCATTCCCCATCAGTGTTGTATTATTCTTTCTAACATCATCTTTTCTGTATTTTTGTCACATCAACAATCATTTTTCAAACTTGTATATTCTGCGGCTCTCTTTGTTGTATCTCTTATTATGTCAAACTTAAATTTAATGTTTATTTTGTTAGCAGTTCTTCTTCTTTTTCTGAAAAATCTCAGTAGAGTACATTGCCATACCAAGGGAATTAGACCAACACTTTCTGCGGGTAAAGGGTTATCGATCAACATAACTAGAGTGCAGTATTCTGAAGAGGAATTCATGAAATGGGTGAACTTTGTTGGTTCCCTCAAACACTCAGTTTTTAAGGCAGCTAGGACTAAGCCGGTGGCTTCTTACACTTTGCACGTTGATAAGGATCCTAGTGCTGGAGATTTTACCTCCATTCAAGAAGCCATTGATTCCCTTCCATTCGTCAATCTTGTGAGAGTGATCATAAAAGTCCATGCAGGAGTCTATACGTGAGTAGGAATGCATTTTCTTGTACTTCTATTGAATTCTGCCACATTCTGGTCCTTTTCCTCTGTGCCCTTTTCAAACTGTGGTTTGTTCGTATAAGACATGGATTTGTAGTCTGTCTTCATTCAAAATTGCATTCTTTTATTTTTATTTTTTCAGTTTACAACTTTTGTTTCTTCTAATGTCCTTTTCCTTCTCATTCAATCATTCAAATCCCAGAGAATCGGTCTTTGTCTGAAGAAGATTTCGCAACGGATAGGCTTTTAGTTCTGTCCTTACACCTCCATCTTCGTGTTACATTATGCAAGTTTCCTTCCATGTGTATTATTGTAATGAATATTGAAAAGCATTTAAATGGAGTTGCAACTGATTTTCCCATTCCATTTGTGTATGTGTCCAGGGAAAAAGTCAACATTCCTGCCTTCAAATCCTACATAACAATAGAGGGAGCTGGTGCAGATGAAACCATTGTTAAATGGGGTGACACTGCTCAAACCCCTGGCTCGAATGGGAGGCTTCTAGGAACCTATGGTTCAGCAACTTTTGCAGTGAATTCACCTTATTTCGTTGCCAAGAACATCACATTCCAAGTAAGGAAAAAACCTTCCCTCTGTTTCTATCTCAATTTAGCTTTCTTTTTATTTGTTTGTGTTTTACAGGCATAATAACATATGTTTTGAATGCAGAACACAACTCCTGTTCCTGCACCAGGAGCAATTGGAAAGCAAGCGGTGGCATTCAGGATTTCAGCAGACACAGCAGCATTCGTAGGCTGCAAATTCTTAGGAGCACAAGACACACTTTATGATCATGTGGGCAGACATTACTATAAGGATTGTTACATAGAAGGCTCTGTTGATTTCATATTTGGCAACTCCCTCTCTCTATTTGAGGTTAGATTTTCTTTCCATAACAATTAATACCTATAATCAGTAATGAATGCTTTAATTTAATCCAAAATCTTCAAATATCATATTCTTCAATTAAGGGGGAGAAGTTATAACATAAACCAATTTTTCTCTTACAAATAATCAAATTGTCAACTTACTAGAAAGATAATAACGTTCAATGAAGTGCCATTTAGATATTGGTAATGGTCACATGAAGAGGTAAGTGTTCAATTGTTGAAATGAACATAGTTTGGTACAGAAAATCTGATGATTGTGTTTGTGACATTATTCTATAGGGATGTCACGTGCATGCGATAGCACAGAATACAGGGGCGGTAACAGCTCAAGGAAGGAGTAGTATGTTGGAGGACACAGGGTTCTCATTTGTGAACTGTAAGGTCACAGGGTCAGGGGCACTATACCTTGGAAGGGCATGGGGACCCTTTTCTCGCGTGATCTTTGCTTACACGTATATGGACAACATCATCATTCCCAAAGGCTGGTATAACTGGGGTGACCCTAACCGTGAAATGTATGTTACCCTTTCATCTTCACACATTCATCCATGTACACTACATACACAGAAATTATATTTAAATTGTTTAATACTTCCAAAAATTAATCACTATTACATTGAATCATTGGTTAAGCCTTTACCCATAATTCGTATATTTCTCCTGCAACTTCCATTAATCCTACCAATGAAGTTGTCGGGTAGCAGTAACACCTAACTCTATTTCATCTTATTATAGTATTTTTATGTGTGTTATTAGTACTGTTTGATTTTACTAAAATTTTACTTTACTTCTGGATTTTAGAATCATCCTTACTTTCTTTAATTAACAAAAAAAAAAAACACGCTAAAGATTATAATAATATGGTATTACTAACTTAATAGATTAATATAATATCAGAATCTAAAATGAGAATTTACTTTCATTAATGATATGCTTACAAATAGAGAAGTTATCTGATTCCATAAATTTGAGGGTTTAGATACTATTAGTAACAAAATCTCTCTCTCCCTGTCTTCTTTACTGTGTGCTTAAACTAATTAATTTTTAGCTCAAAACATAATTGCACCAAAATCTTTACATTTTTCTGGATAACATAACAACTCTTACAAATTTTTTTTCTTTTTCTTACTAAAAATCAATATATATTTTAGGTGGAAGTGAAACATCTTATTTTTCTTCCTCTCTTATTCCTCCTACAAGTCAACGAAATTGCAAGGCCAGAAGGTCGTTTTACCCGTTCAATTTGTCAGCCATGAACTCTTGGCACATTGCTAAGACCATTTTACCTCTCAACACGATGATCTAGTTAGTGTCATCTCACAAATGGAAAGGGCAACGCCTTGCTCTTAAAATATTACCACCAAAAATGATGTTTGACACCCTACTAAGTGGCGGATCTGATTGGGAGTTGAGGGAGTCATGTAATTTATGATTTTAGCTTCAATCATAATGAACATTTAATATATTTATTTGTATATTTATAATTTTATCTTCTCAGTCCTTTCTGGTTTTGTAAGCTCTTATATAATTTATGATTTTGTTCCTTTCAAACTTAATAATCATTTAATATATTTAAGTATATATCTAGAATTTATCTTTTCACCCTTTCACACTTTCATCTTCTTTCTTCATTTATTATTTATTAATAATATATTATTTGATCCTCCCAAAATCAATGCTCAAGATCTGCGATTATATGTAACAGTTGACAGATTTCTATGTTTTCTTAATTAGATTCAATCTTTACATTTGCCTGTTGAACAAGTTAATACCTTGTTGTTGACATAAAGCTCCTCTTATCTACTTCTTCACATGAATTCAGTTCTGTGGGTTGTGAAAAACTTTAACCCCTTGAACACTATTAGACCAAAATGGGGCGGTGCCACCTTTCTTACTCCGTAGTATGGGTGTGAAGGATTTTTGTCATCTTCCACTTTATCAAAACTTCCCACTCAAGAAATCACAAGCACCCTCCTTCAACCATCACACTACCCTTATGCCTAAATGACAAAAATACCCTCCATCCAGTGTAGCATCATCAACATAGCAAACCTGTCTCCATCAAACTAATGAGAAATGTGAATGAGTCTATTCTTAGGACAGAACAAGGGAGCAATATTAATAATAATTGGTATCTTTTTACCTAGTGTGAGGCCAAGAAAATAGGCATAGCTAGCCATATATATATATATATATATATATATATAGTGTCCGTTTCCTCTAGGTATACTCCAAAACTATATGTATGCATGGTGCAAGCTACGTGTTATCCTATGAACCCTCCAATAAAAAATTGTATTAAAAAACAAACTAAACTTTCTGAAGAATGGAAATTCATAGCACTGTTTAGGGAAAGTGATGAGTAATAACTAAATTAGGAGGATTCTAACCACCGAACTTCTTGTCTGTATAAGCAATATAGATAAGGCATAGCAGCATGCACTAAGTGTCTGAAAAGCCACCTAATCCAATACCTTAACATATTATTCTATTAAACCTTACTTGGTATACAGCTATATAAATATTGGCATGCGCATGTGGGTGGCTTTATTGTATAATGACAAATTAATACATATATTTATAGTGTAATTTTATACTCTCAATCAATTATAAATTATGTGGAGTTTTGCACTAATTATCACAAAATAATATCTAATATGATATTTTTTATTGATTCTCTAAAAACTTTTATGTTAACAATACATATACAAAGAAGCAATCTACAATTTAATGTGTTCTGATGTTAATTTTTTGTATTGTATTGGGTGCACCACCAGGACTGTTTTCTATGGGCAGTACAAGTGCACAGGACCTGGAGCAAGCTTTGCAGGGAGAGTGTCATGGTCAAGAGAACTCACTGATGAAGAAGCTATACCTTTTCTTTCACTTTCCTTTATTGATGGGACCGAATGGGTCAAATTATAGTTTAACAAAAACACAGTTTCTATTTTTTATATTGATTTTTGAGTCTGAATTCCTCTGATGAAAAACATTTGATGTATAAATTATACATATGACAGGTCCATAATTTGATAGTGCCCTTATGAGTCCTCATTTCCGTTCCCTGAATTAGAGCTATAGTTCATTTAACTTTGCTGATCTCAACTGCTTCAGGAATTTTTTTAGCAGAGAATTGGAACTTTCTTAGGACTATTTCATCCCCAGGACTCAGTTTTGAATTCAAAACCTTATTTATATTACTTCTGCTAAAAACATTTTGATTACCTTCAACTCTGATTTTGGATCAAAACATATGCCTTAGTTAACATGCAAAAGTAACGTCCAAAGTCATAAACTATCTATAGTTCTTACTTACCGTGTAAACAAAAAAGATAAAGAATGCTATTGAAGGATTTATATCTTCTACATCAAGATCTTCTATGGCATGATTTGTTAACCTCCTTGGAATCTAACAATCTCTGAAAATTTGGGCTTCAAATTGTCACTCGTGCAGCCCATTTTAAGAGTGTAGTCTCTACATCACCGAACATAATGTTTGGGCCTTGCTCTGCTTGTATCAAGAAGAGCGTAGCACTCTTCATAGGTGTGAAATAAAACTCTGATAATAATTTCCTTTAATCTACAGTTAATCATGTTAATTTATACTTTATTGTGTATAGTTTGACGAGGTACGCAACCATAGACTTCTATAAGAATTACTTCTCATTTAAGGAACTGATATTTAAAGAAAAATGAGTCCACACAATATCAAAAAGGTAAAAAAAATGTGATGTAATATAAAAGTGTAGGAAAATCATTAGGGTCCATTTCATAAATGTATTATATAGTTCTTTTTTGCCAGAGAAAAAAAATGGATGAATTGGATTTTAGATTGTGAGCGCAGATTTTAAGGTTTAAACAGCATTTACAAAGGTAATTGTACTCTCATATTATCTACTAACAAGATCTTTATATGATTGTAAAAATCATACTCATGTGGTTGTAAGATATGAGTTATTCTCTTACCAATTGGGTCAACCTCAGTTACAGTACAAAAAATGTTAAGAAATGTTCTCAATGGAGTTAAAAAGGAATATCATATTATTATTGGGAGGAATCAAAATGCAGACTTAGTTTTACCAGTTTTAAAAACATAATCATTATTTTAATTAAATCTCCTAAAAAGTTATTGAAAAGAATAAATATTTTCTAAAAAATAAACTTCCTCAGACAAGTTTCAAATCTGTCTTGTAAAGAAAGCGAAGATTCAAAAGTAAATTCTATCTAAATTTGACCGTCTGTAAACTCACTTTCTGAACGAATGACGCATATGAAGTGTCCTACATGTTCTTTATGAATACATAAAAAAAAATTGCTACAACCTACTTTAGTCAAAAAGTTAACATTGCAGCATAATCAAGTTTAATTATAACCTTAGCTAGAACCTACTATATACTGACAATCAATAGTACACATTGCAGAGTAATTAAATTTGCTTAGACCCTTAGAGCAAGTGTAGAGAAATTGAGTTACTGGTGGTGAAGAGGTTGAAAGAGATAAATTATCATACAAACAGTAACACAAGTTTTTAAACCACCAGAGGCCAAAGGGTCAGGCATCAACAACAAGAAGCAGTTAAAAATACACACTTCTTCTATACCATTCACATTCAAAATTCAAAACAAATTAAAAACTGGTCATATAAGTAAACGTAGTTAATGACAGAACATGCATGAGCCAAAAGTCAACAGTGTCCTTGGATATTAAATAATCCTTGAATGAAATCCTTATAAATATTTTTTTGGTTAATCGAATCTCCAATCATTAGTTGATTATTGTTGATAATTTTGCGTGACTCCAATGGTTAGAACACAATCAACGTAGCTTAGCTTTTTGAAGTCATTCATGCTATCAATATTTGACAGAAAATATCTCTTCGTAACTCAAAAAGTCTCTTATAGGATGATGTTGCTTCACTTTTAGAAGAATGTTTGTACACATTTTTGTATACACATTTCATATATGAATAATTTATATTAGCACACTTTTCTTTTTACCCATTTCACATATGAATAATTATATTTTCACCTTTTTTTACAAAAAACATTGTAAAAGAAGAGTAAGAATAGCATCACTCCTCTCGCATAATCAACTGTATTAGGATTAACTGCATGTGCTCCTGTAAAAGATAAGTGTTAAACCTATAGCTCAATCATCTCAAAAGAATAGGAAAAGAAACAAAGCATTTTCTGTTACAAATTATTGGACAACAAAAGTATATTTGAACCATGTTCTGACATATCTTATGAAAGCTCCTTCATCAACTCTTCTTTTTATTGTGGGAAAAGTAATATGGTTCCTCCAATATTTTTTGTTTACTGTGAATCTTGTTTAGAAATGGTTTTAATCAACAGTTTGAGTACTGAAGTTTTATTATCACCAACAAAACAAGTTCTACTATGAAAACAAGAAGTGAAAAAGAAAAGAAAAGCATGCGAGTTTACAGTAAAGGCAAATTAAGACTTGCATTTGATTATAGACTATAGAGACAATATATGCAAATTCCATGAAAAAACTTTTCACAAAACAATGAGGCGCTTCTCTCTCTGCCTTCTATTTTGTCTTCACATTCCCACACTCACCACCTATGTATGTGCACATTGTCAAACTTGGTGCAGAAATATGGAGTATTTTAACACTTTAACAGTGTAAATAACAAAGAGAGCCAGATATCTATCCTAATAAGTTCAGCAGTCACCACCTTCTCTGGTGGAAATAGTTTCTGTCTGTCTCCCTAACAGATTCTGTAGATTTCTGAAGCTTTCCCATCACAGCATTCTTGAAATTAATGACTTCTTGAGCTTGTGAACAAGACCTCTGCATTCTAACCCCACTCAAGCTACTTCTAAACTCCATCATTTCATTGAGGGAGAGTCTTTTCCTTGGACCTGGTTCTGGTCGTTGCTTTGGAGCACTATGAGACCTCAACTTGGCCTTAAATGACTGAGTACTAGCCATGTAGTTTGGAAAATTTTCATATTGCCCTAGGAACAAGTTATCAGTACACACACTTTGGGGTGTCATAGGTGCACCTGGGCCACAACTACAAGGATTTGTGAAGCGTGGAGTGCTTTGTGCTGTAGAGAACCTACATTCTTCCCCTGTCAACCCCCATTCAGAGTCCTGAAAATTCCTTTGGTCTGGTATGGACAAACGTGTAGGGGTACCTCTATATGGAATTGGGAAGGGAGAGGAAAGTGCCTGAAGTGATGGTTCATCACCAAAATCTGATATTGTCCTTCTTGACCTTGACTTAGGCCTGAAAGTGTCCACTTCCACTATTTTGGGGCTCCCGTCAACACTGTTGCGGATGTTAATTGTAGCATCAAAAGAAGATGATACTCTTCTTCTGTGGATTGGAACTTTATGCTCACTCCTAGTATCATTAAACCTCTCCTGACAAAATTCAATGAAACATAAAGCTTAGAATAACAAATAATATAGCCATTCATTATGCATAATATAACTAGAAATGTGGCAACAATATGAGATCTGTGCCAATACCATTGATCTTCTTGCTCTATTTTGAGATCTAAATGCTTCATTCTTCGTGCTCATGAGCCTGCGAGATTGGTGGGACCGTATTGTAGCTTGAGCTCTAACAAGAGCCTGCATACTACGCAGTGTTGCTGTTGCTTGCTTCCTCACTAAATACCCTCTGACAAGTGCCTGCAACTTCACCAATCCTTTTAATGCCCTGAGTGCCTTTCTTGCCTGTTCACAACACACGTCAATTTTAAAATTCTACGCTCAACAGTGCACCAAAAACAAATGGAGAGAACAACATTCTAAATCAAACAGACCACATACAATTGAGGCTAAAAACCTATAATTTTTTGACATAAATAAACAAAGGTAAATGTATAAACTCACCAAGTATCCTCTAAACACTGCTTGAATCTTGACAGCAGCCCATATCTCAGGTCCAACACCAAACATGGTGCCACCCCTTCCTTGGCTGGTGAGTCTTACAACTGCCACCGCAGCGTGTGCTGCAGCCACAGCAGCATCGGCTGCTGCTGCCGTGGCGGCAGCAACTGCTATGGCGTGATTGTTTTGGTCCTTCCCTGTGTAGAAGGACTGTAACCAAGCAGCCTCAGCTTGAGAAATGTTGGGAGGTATGGTCCCTGGATTGTGACACAAAACTTTTGAATTACTAGTACTCTCAGAACAACCCAATTCCATGTTGTTGGCCTTTCCACTCTTTGAGTTTTGTTTCTTCTCTTTCTCTCTTTTAATACCAAACAAACTCTTCACCCACCTAGTGGTTCTCCCCATTGCTGGCCTCAGTGCAAGAAATAGTGCAACCTACAAATATGGTGAAATTCGGTGGTTGAAGTAAGCATTCTTTGAGACCCTCCAAAACAATAAGAAAGAGATAAGAAGAAAAGAAAGCAGTGTGATGTCAATGTGAATGAGGCATATACTTAGTATGTTACAATGTGATTTTATTGGCTTTCATATCAAGGATGTGAAAGGAGACAAAACAAAAGAAATGAAAGCAAAAAAAGACGCTGTCAAGCCCTCGTGAAAATCTGCGTTACATTACATGACAAAAACCGTGCCAATGGAACATGCAAGGAGGGAACAAAGAAAGTTCAAGAAATTTAATAAATAAGATTTAACTTAGTAGGTTGGTTTCATATAAATGATTTAACAATACAATGCAAGAAAATGACACAGTTAACAACAGGACTGTGGAAAAGTAATGAGAGAGAAAGCGTAACCCACCTCCACCTTTCATAGAATCAGATTCCGGAAAAGAAAAAGGAATAAAACTCTCTTTTAGTATTTTATTATTACTTTCTAAAAACACTTAAACATTTATTAAGTTGTTAATGATTCTATCTTTGATTAATATGTTGTGAATTTATATAAATATAAATTTTGCGATATCTAGACAAGATCACATGCTTATAATAATG